ATTATTGGATGTTGAATTTAAAAAAGAGGAGGTACTAAATGAATCAATAATTTTTTGGATTTTCTCTCTAGCCTCCCCCTAAACTCTAATACTGTGTTTGATTGAAGGATTTGATGGGAGTTTTGGAAAAAAAAATGAAAAAAGTAGGCGAAATGTGAATAAAATATACCTACATTTCACCTAATTTCACACACTTTTCACTTTTCCTTTCCAAATCTCTCCCCAAATCCTCCAACCAAACACACGTAAAACTCTCTTGTTTTTCTTTCTAGGGATTTCTGTAAAGGGAGAGGGAGATAGTGGTGGTTCCTTTATCTCTCTGATCTCCCTTTTCTTCTCTTTCCTCCTCCCTTTGAGCCTCGTCTAGATTTGATGTTCGTCTCTCCAGTTCAGCTATCACTATCTTACCTTCTATATCATTGAGTCCAAAATTTTAAGATTTGGTTTTAGATCTTCTTACAGTCTAAAGGACGAAGCTAAATAACGCGTTCGTTTCATGTCAGGCAATCACTTCAATCCCAATATTCTATATTGACCAGCAGAAATGGAGTCTTTGGATTTTTAGTTGAAAGCTACATAGCATTGGAGTTTTGGATAAGTTCGGTAGTGACTTGGATTTAATTTTTTCGTGATTTAATTTTTAGTTTATTGATGTAATGATCCTTTCTGTGTGGAGGTTTGTTTCCTACCCTTGTGGAGGCCTTTTCTCCTCATCTATGGAGGCTTGAATCCTCTCTTCTATGGAGGTTGTTCATAGTTTTTTGAGATGTTATGACACTGTTATACTAGATCGATCTGATCTTTTATCGATTTTACAATGAAGATTTTCTTTCTGATCTAAAAAATATGTAAATAAAAAAAAGGGAGGGTACTAAACAAAAATATTAAAATTAAAATTAAAAAAAAAAGAAGCTACATATTTGTTTCTTCTTGTTTTTCTAAACCAAACTAGTAAAAATTAATTTCTATCTTTCTATTTTTTTCACTATTTTTTCGTGGGTGAACTGCACTAATGGTCATTGTTGTTTTGAGTTTATATCACTTTGATCATTTACCTTTCAATTGTAATATATTTGACCATAAATTTGAATCTCGTTCTAAATAAGAACAATTGAAGACACTTTTGTTCTATTTGAAGAGCAAAGTCATCAATTTGATAAAATATAAACTAGTTTGACAAAAAGAAATGTCAAAAAAATATTTTTGAAATTTTAAAAATTATTTCTATCACACCAAAGATAAAATTATATAAAAATGATAAATTTTTTACATTTTTATTTATTTTTATTTTTTTACCAAATTAATTTTTAGTATTTGTTTTGACGATAATCATGTAATGAGTTGTTATTTTTATTGAGTTTTTTTATTGTAATAGATGGTTGTATTTGTTGTTAATATATATTTTTTTATTGTTATAGTGTAATGGATGGTTATTAGCTTTTTAATGTGTAATCGATGTTGAATATAGAAATTAGAATACATAGAATCTTTTTATTTTTAGTGTTATGCATATAATCTGTGATTGTGTTAATCACTGATTTAGTATTATTTCCTTATTTATATCCATTATTTATATCGTTTCCTAAATTGTATCATGATTCTATTATATATACATGATCTCTACCTCATTCATGAGTAAGCTAAATAATTATTTTCATTTTTTTTGGTATTAGAGTTAGGTTAAGTACCTAATAATTTTGCTTCACCAATGCCGCTTGCTGGACCTCAACCCATTTCACTGCCATATTTTCTTTCACTATTATTTGGTGGTGATCTCTTACTCTATCTACTATTTTATTCCATACCCTTTTACAACTGTCACAACATTGATTCCGGTTAGTTTCTACAACGGTCCGACATAACCTCGTAAACTATCCCGACATTGATTCCAGTCAGTTCCTACAGTGGCCCAACATGACCTTAAACTGTCCCGACATTAGTTCCGATCAATTTCTACAATGATCTGGCACGACCATAAACTATCTCTTGGTATTAGCACCGACCTCTGATGCCGACCAGGGTCTTGTTAGCTACTGACTAGGGTGTTTCTTATCCATAGATGCTTCAGCAGCTCTTATAGAGCAGTTCAATCCCTGTTTTTTTTTTCCCCCTTTTCTAGGATGTAGTGCTGATGTATTAAGTACTTTTTGGTTTTTTTTATTTAATGGACTACTAGATTTGTTCAGTAGTATTTATTTGGACTAGCTGATGAGTTTTTTCGGGCTCTTCCAGCCATCAATGGGCAAGCTGCGATTGTTGAATATCTTTACACCAGCTTGAGGGGAGTGTTGAATATAAAAATCAGAGTACATGGAATTTTTTTATTTTTAGGATTGTATCCATCACTTATTTAGGGGTCTTTTGGAAAGCAAAAAAAAAGTCAGTTTTTAGCTTTTTACTAATTTTGGGTCACATCATCTTTCACATTTTTTACCTACAAAAAGACAAAATAGACTAAAAAAGTCAAAAAGTCATCTTTTTACCAACTTTCTAAAACACCACTTAATATCGTTTCCTTATTTATATTGTTTCTTAAATTATATTATGAATCTATTATATATACATAACCTCTACCTCATTTATTGATAAGCCAAATAATTCTTTTGATTTCTTTTATTGATATGTTTAATACATAAAATATTTTTAGTTTTGGATTTTTTAATTTAATAGATTGATTTAATAATAATATCAAAATTGTCGTCATATTTGACTTTTGAAAAAATAGAAATTAATTTAATAAAAATAAATATTAAAAAATTATTTCCCTCCCAAAAAATAAAATTATATAAAAATAATGTGTTTTTAATTTTTTTCACTAATTAATTTTTAATTTCTTAGAAAAAAAATTCTAAAAATAAATTAGGAAAACAAACTAAATAGAACTTTATAACTAAGAAAGTTTCAATATTATTCATGAAAAAAAAAAATTTATTACATTTCAAATAACATACAAATTAACCAACACAAAATAAGTTGTATAATAACTTTATCATTAAAATAAACCATTTACAAAGGATTCATTTTTTATTGTCTTTGTTTAGAGCAAAATTTAAAATTTAAGATTAAATGTATCATAATTAAAAATTTAATAATCAAAATAATACAAGTCTCAAACTATAAAAACCTATTAACATAATTTATTTTTCTTTTTTTTTTCTTTTCCATTCAAGTATATAGAGTTAAAAAATGAAACAATACATAACACATTCTTGTAGACACATGTCATTTCAATTTAAATTACAAGTTCATTTATGAAATTGTTAATTCTATAGGTCAATATTCAAATATTTTTTAACTAAAAAAATGTATTTGTCCAAAACGACACTTAAAGTTATTTTGAGAAGGTGTGATTAAAAGTTAATTTTTTAATTTTTTTAATCACATTAACTTTTTATTTTCTTACATAATTTAAAAAAAAAATTTTAAATCAAAAAATCAACTATTAACTGATTTTTCAAAACACTCCTAAATTGTTCAACATTTGACTATATGTATTTGTTCAAATGTCGACATATCTATACATGTGTTACATATTTATTTACTTATTTTTTAAAACAACAAACTATCTATACAGATCATTTATTTATGGGAAAATTGGCCTAAGATCCCTCCTCTACTTTTGATATGAGGAGAGGTCCTTTATAATATGTTTTGATGGCTAAGGTCCCTCAAATTTATTTTAGGTTATAAAGTACCTAAATTACCCTTCCTTTATAACATAAATTTGTTTGAATATTATATGGTTGAGTTAACCATTTACAAAGGATTCATTTTTTATTGTCTTTGTTTAGAGCAAAATTTAAAATTTAAGATTAAATGTATCATAATTAAAAATTTAATAATCAAAATAATACAAGTCTCAAATTATAAAAACCAATTAACATAATTTATTTATTTATTTATTTTTCTTTTCCATTCAAGTATATAGAGTTAAAAAATGAAACAATACATAACACATTCTTGTAGACACATGTCATTTCAATTTAAATTACAAGTTCATTTTTGAAATTGTTAATTCTATAGGTCAATGTTCAAATATTTTTTAACTAAAAAAATGTATTTGTCCAAAACGACACTTAAGTTATTTTGAGAAGGTGTGATTAAAAGTTAATTTTTAAAATTTTTTTAATCACATTATCTTTTTATTTTCTTACATAATTTTTTTAAAAAAAATTTAAATCAAAAAATCAACTTTTAACTAATTTTTCAAAATACTCCTAAATTGTTCAATATTTGACTATATTTATTTGTTCAAATATCGACATATCTATACAACATTTGACTATATTTATTTGTTCAATTATCGGCATATCTGTACATGTGTTACATATATTTACTTATTTTTTAAACAACAATGATTCATCCCACTAAAAACATCACCACTAATAGCACTAATGCATTAAAAAAGTAAAAAAAAAAAAAAAACACAACTCCAAGACCAAAACATCACATCATTAATGGCGGAACCCACTGCCACCTAATTAGTGGGAGCACTAATGCTCCCATGCATTTTTCTTTTTTAAAACAACAAACTACTTATACGGATCACTTATTTATTTTAAAAATATTTGAAAGCTCTAAACTATGAACTCTAAAAAACACTCCAGAGAGTGAGTCCCTATTCATTGATGTGATGTTTTAACTTTAATTTTTCTTTTTTCTTTTCTTTTTTTTTTTTTAAATTTTCACCTCATTAGTGTTCAATTAACACTCTCAAATTAGATAAATGAATCATTATTGTATTTATTTACTCATCTATCCAAGTCACCCCACTTACTACCGCCGGTGACTATTTTTCCAGCACTAATAACTTTCCCGATGAATTTTCAAATCTTATCCTTATCACAAAAAATGTTTAATTAACCATATGGCCCATAAAAATAAACTTTTCAACAATTAACCTAATATAAAAAAAATAAAGGAAAATAGAAAAATGGACACAAACAATTCCCATAAAATTGAAATCCCAAAATAAAAAAAATAAAAAAAAAAACGAAAAATGTAGAGACGGGAAAAAAAATCTCTTTAAATTTACAACTATTAATCTAATACACTGGGGGAAAAAATTCTAATACACCCTGAATTAAGCCCATATATATGTTGGGCAAGAATCAATACTACAAAAACCCAAAAAAATAAACTAAAAATAAAAAAAACCTTATTATTTTTTTAATCACCACCACCAATCATGATGGAAAATTATCGTTGTCGTCATCATCACAATACTAAAATCATCAACTGTTAACCTCTCAAAAACCCATCTTCCTCGTCATCAATTTCCGGCGGCCACGGCCGGCAGCGATCCGGGTCTGGACGCTCTCAAACTCGGAGATCCGACAAGGGATGGTAATCCCACCCGGGTGATCAAACCCGTATTCCTCCTCCGCCTCCCTTAACAGCTTCCCAAACAACGGGTGGTTGAAATACATCACCGGAACCAAAACCCTGTGGAAATCTCCGCCGTCTTTCTGACCCACATACACCGCCATCTGCCCCTTCGGCACCACCTCCACCGCTTTGTCTTCTTCCCATAGAGAGTAAGCTCGACCCGGAACCCCACTCCGATTCGAACAACAGAGAGACTTTGCCTTTTTCTTCAGGCAGCTGAATAGCCTGGAGATGCGTTTGGTCTTGCATGTTGATGGGTCGAGTCGCTGGTACCCTGAAAAGGTCCGGGGCCGTGTCCGGTTCCGCCGGAAAACGTACCGGAAAAGTGTGGTGACCCGATGCCTGAGCCTGATTCCTCGGATCCTTTTCATGGGTTGGGATTTGTTGCTTCGGATCGGACCGGATTCAACCGGGTTAATTTGATCGGGTGTTTGGGAAGTGGGAAAATTTGTGTTTGGGGTCTAGAAAAATGGCCAGGGGCCGGGCGACATGACCGGGCGGAAGAGAGTGAGACAGACCTCAGAGAGAGAAGTGGGTATGCTTGACATGTTCTTTGCTGGCGCTGAGATTTGAGAACATCATTCAAAGCGTTTTTTTTTTTTGTCTTTTTTTCTTGTGCTATCGAAACGTTTCGCTGTTCACTTTTTGTATTTCAAAACAACGTACCGAACTAGAACGTTTCTGGTTCTACCAATTCAATACCAACAGGAAACGTTTCGTTTTTGTGAAGCAGAGATGGAAGCAATTTGGAGTGGTGTCAAGATGAATTGATTGGAGCATTTAGAGAGAGAGCTTGAAATGGTCTGCACGCAACTGAGTGAGAGAGAACAAAATAGCTGTACATATATATAGGAGAACTTGTTGAGCTTGAAATGGTCTGCAAGGGTGTATTTGGTTTGGTTTTGAGGGAATAGTTTTTAAAAATTGTTTTGGGAATGAAGTTTAGAAATTTTTTTGACTTGTTTAGTTGTGTATTTTGAAAGTAATTTTGGAGTTTGGGAGTTTAGAATGATTTAATATTTTGTTTTAATTAAGTAGATATGTGTGAGAAAAAAAATGATTGAAAAGGAGAGAAGAAAAAAAAAATTTAATTGATGTATAAGAGAGAGTGTGATTTTGAAAATTATTTTAAAAAAATTACAAACAAAACAATTTTTATAAAAAAAAAATTTCAAAACCACTCTACAAACCCTAACCAAACATACCCAAAAAACTTTCCTTTACACCTAAGTATTTGTAGCAGTGGTAACTCAGAAAAAATCTCAAGAATCTAATATAACAGTTCTTTTGGAAATTAGTGTTTTTTGAAGCAACTTTTTAATTTTTTATAATAAGAAGTGTAAAAGTAAAAAAATTAATTGACTTTTTGTATTATTTTTTTTACTATTTTAACTAATTACTAAACATAGCCTCAATATTGATCATATGAGTTGGTTTCACATTTATGTGAGAAATTTATATTTAATTTTATGATTGATTTATGTATACAAATAAAAAATTATATTAATAAATGCCAAAAAAAAAATGAAATTATATATATTATTTTTCAATATATTGACTGTTTTGTATTAATTTTTTTTACTATTTTAACTAATTACCAAAAATAGTCTCAATATTAATCATATGAGTTGGTTTCACATTCATGTGAGAAATTTACATTCAATTTTGTGATTCATTTATGTATACAAGTAAAAAATTATATTAACAAATGCTAAAAAAAATGAAATTCTATATATATATTTTTTCAATATATATAGTAGAGGAATTAAATGTTTTTTTTTGTTTACGTAAAGATTATTAACATATAAAAAAAACTAAATTAATTTGAGCTATATGATTTTATAATACTTGGTTTAAAAAAATAAACATTAGAAATAATTTTAAAATATATTACTCATATTAAAAATAAATATGTTAAAATTATGTGATTATTAAAAAAAATTATGAATAATTTACATATTGGGACTGAAAAATTCAACAACTTAATTCTTCATTAAAACAAGTCGTGTAGCACAAGACCAGTCTAATTTGGACGTATGAGTTTATCCCATGATATATTTTGATTATTTGATTCGATCATTTTATATATCCATGTATATAACTTATAAAAAAGTATTCATTCATATAATTTCTTCTCCTCAAATCCTTCCAAATAGCGTGACAAATAAAATTTAAAAAGTTAATTTATTTTTAAATATTTTTTCAAAATTATTCTCACATGCATTCTGTTTTATCATTTCATTAGGGATTATGGAAAAAGTAATTGTGTGGCTAAAAATAAAATTGATAAATTACACTCACATCTTTTGAGTTTAAAAAAAAAAATTAATTTATTAATTTATTTGAGTCAAATATTTTTTATTTTTTATATATATTTTTTATAATAAATAAAAATTTTAATTTATAAATTATACTCAAAACAATCCATAGGATAAATAAATAAAAAAAATAACTGGATTAATTTATCGATTTGTTTGAAGGATATGTGCGTGAGTGGTGGGTACCAGGGGGTTTCGAAGGTCAGCAAAAACGAGGACCACGTCCAGACGACGAGAGAGGCTTGGCGGCGAGATTGAAATAAAGTTGTATTGGGAAAATTATTTAGTGCATTTTGGGCAACTACATATCATGTTCCAATTAATTTTATTAGTTTAAATAATTAAATTTATTGTTTTTATATTTTAAGGCAACATAACAAAGGTCAAGATGAATTGATTGGAGCATTTGCTTCGGAGTTATCAAATAATAAAAAATTTATATTTTGTTTGCAGAGTAATGTTAAGAATTTTAAATATTTTATTAAAATTTTCACATAAATATAGGATTTATATAAAATTTATATGGTATAAATCTTACATTCATGTAAGATATTTAGGTCAAGTTTGGCAAGTTTAGAATAAGCTAAAAAGTTAAAAAGTTACTCAAAAAGTTAAAAAGTTAACACTATTCACCAAAAGTCAACAATTACGGCTGCACAACTCCCAATTCTAATTTTCTCTTACAAACCAATTTTTATAATTTTTTATTACACATTTTTTCATAAAAAGTCAAAAAGTTAACCCAAACATCTATATTTTCTTCCTCAATTTTTTAGTTCAAAAAGACAAAAAGTACACTTATTTAGGACACCCCAAACAACCCCTTAATAAGATATTTAAGGTATCTAGTATTTTTCTTGTTCGTAAGATAAATTCATGAGGTATCTTAACTTAAATTTTATTGATTTAATAATAAAATTTATTATATTCATAATTTTGTTATTTTGTTTTTGGGCTTTTGAAAAGATATAGGATGACTTATCAAATGACAGTGCATCAATCTTATAACAAAGGCATAGTTTGGGAAGTTGGTTTTGGTGGCTTAGGGGTTAAAATAGTTATAAAAAATAAAATAGGTTATTTTAGTCACAAAAAATAAAATATCAAATCCAACTCATAATCATTACACTCCTCTCTCACAAAAAAAGTCAAAAAAGTCAAAAAGCTAAAAAATCTTTCTCAAACCAGGCTTTTTAGCCCTAGGCTAAAATAGTCAAAAGGCCAACCCACTTCCCAAACGGAGGCAAAGTAACATATAATTAGCTTCTAAAGTATAGAAGAAAAATTAGAAACTACTTAGGCCATCTATAATGCTATACTAAATTCATCATCAAATTTAAATTTGGTAAAAAAGTTCTCTTTTTAGTGTTCCAATAGTTTCATCAAACATGTATTAAATTGAGAATATACCAAATAATTTGGGCCACCTTTCACCAATTTACTGTGCAAGACCGTTCGAGACGGGACACACCGGACGTCCGACTGATTGTCCCTCAAAACAAAGCAATAGTTTGGACTGTCAACAGGCTTCCAAAGTTGTTTACTTTTTGTGGCACCAAGGCTAAAGGCCTTACCAACATTAATGCATTGCAGAGGCAAATACATTGCATGTAAATTCAAATTTGTATGCAAATTAGCCGTTCAATTAGCAAGGTGCAACCCCAATAAAGTTACCATTGGTTTTGCAGAGGATTTCACAAGGTTACCGTTGTTGTGCTCTATAAAATAAGACTGATTTATTTTTTAATTTCACAATACTATTACAATTTCTCTTCTTTTTTTTCCCCTGCCATTGTTAACTTCAATCTTCACTTTTTATTTCATTTGTCAGTTGTTTCTTTTATAATCTTCTCATTGTGTGAATTTCAGTCTGCAGTAGTTCTCTAATTTTTCACTTCTTTCTTTAATTTTTTACTTGTTTTTTTTACAATTTTTTTCACTCTGTGTTGAATGTTGTATCCTATTGAATTTTTTTAACTTGTTTATTTGTACAAATGTTACCTTCAAACTATGAAATTTTTTGAAATGTTTGAGGAATCATAAACTTCAGAGCAGAACACTAATGTTACTTTTATTTCGGAAACTTGCCGTGTTTCTTGTGGTAAAGCATTCACCATTATATAAGATGAAACTTTATGTAGATCTTGGTTGGCGGTCTCTCAAGATTCCATTGCTGGTAATAATTAGACCATGACAATATTCTGGGAACGAGTACTCATTTATTTTAATTTATAATCGAATGATCAATCAAATCGAAACCGTATTTTTTTGTCTCACCGTTGGTCTGTTATGCAAAAGGCAATTAATAAATTATGTCGTTTTCTTGAGCAAATCCAAATGAGGCAATGAAGTGGAAAAATTGAGGCAGACATGGTAATTTTCATTTCTTTTGTAGCATATCGATTTTTTTTGTTCTCAGTCTACTTTTTATCGAAACGATTATCTTTTTCATTTTTTATGTCGCTGAAGCTAAGCGCATGTATCGTGCAATACAGAAAAAACACGTAACATTTGATACAAGTTGGGAATTTTTGCGCCGAAGTTGTGAGTGGGATGAAATTAGAACATAAACCAAAAAACTCACACTGCTACCTTATCCATTTTTGAATCCAATAATTGAAGGTGAGGCTTTTCAACAACAATATTGAGGAGGACCAAAAACTGACTAATACATCAACATGACTAATTGGTACTAAGGCTGCAAAAGAAAAATTAAAGGAGCAAGCAATTTGATGAAATGGCTGCCTACCAATCTAAAATTGTTGAAGTGTTGTCAACTATGTCTTCTAGAACTGTTGAGCGAAATGAACAAAAGGCGATAGAACGTGAACAAAAGACTGTAGAACGTCGAAGAAGGACCGAGGATAGGGAGGAACAACTAAAAATGTTATCTATGATGAATGAAAGAGAACAACGAAATGATGATCAAAAAATAATGTTAATGGATATGACAAATTTAAATCCTATGCAAAAGGCCTACTATGAAGAGCTTTAACGACAAATCTTATACCGATCAACAAATAGATTTCCTTGACTGTTTGATGAAGACCGGGATTTCAATTGAATGATTTGCAGTGTATTTCTGCATTGCATTTTAAGGGTTAATTTGTGGAACGTTCTTTATGTGCCTCCCCCCTCTTTTCTCTAAATTTTTACTTGTTATCTATATGTTCCTTTTCATTTGAAGATGTTATTCTACTTCTACTTTTAAAATCAGTAATTGTGACACCTAAAGACATCATATCTATTTTAAGTCAACTATTGAATATGCTTCTTTTTCTACTTCTTTTTTATTTTATAGTTTATATATTTTTATTATATATATGTTGATGCTGGTTTAAAAATTTGAGAAATAACATGTGAATGGTCTTTTATGAGCACCAAGTGTATTGGTTTTATTATTTATTTCTATTAGAAATATTATTAGGTGATATTTCTCA